CTCTTCGTAAAGTCCTCGAGGGGGGCGCCAGGTAAGGTGGGGTTGGTGGGAGGGACAGCGAGCACTATCAGCCCGCTATCAGTCGCCGCCGCCCCTTCCCTCGTCAGTATTCGCGGGGTGCGCCGGGCGGCGGGGCTTTAGGAGGGGTGAGGCACGCGACGCGAGGCAAAGCACCCCCGGGAGATAGGGGCGGGGGGAGGGAGGGGGGGGGGGCGTGCGACTGAGAACTAACTACTTATTCTGCGCGCGGGGCCGTCCATCATCATCTTAACAGGGTGGAGACGGAAAATAAAAGTGTAGAGAGCCAATGAGGGGGTGTCGGAATTAATTACACTGTCATTCCAAGTGTGTTACTGGGAAAGCGTAACTGCAAAACTTTTCGTTACACACCCGTTCAAGTGTAGAACGGGTCCGCGCGAGGTAAAAGAAAATGCGTATATTAGCCAGCCGTCTTAATACGTAACAAAAATTATCTTTTAAAAACTCTCTACACTTAGACAAAAATGGATACGGTCACTCTTCTGCTCCACCGCCAGACATTCCGTGAGCACCGGGGGGATCATCAACTTTGGCGCGTCGGCGACACCGGCGGCGACGACGTGCGTGCCTCAGCTATGCGGGGACGGTGCTGCTCTAAAATAGCCCTCCCGGCGCCACCCGCCCAGCCCGGCCCCGCCCCACCCAGTCCTCCCCTCCCCCGCCGCTGTCCCTCCTCGCGATCCAACACACACACACAAATTTATTCACCGCTCTGGCTAACAAAGTCCGCCGCGAGTACGACCCAGTGGGGTAGACGGCTCAATGTCCTCAGAGTCGAGCCCCCGGCTGCCACCCCTCCCTGCGGTCCCTTCCTCCCCCTCCCCCTACCAACTCCGCCATCACCCTCTCTGCCGTACCTTACCCTCTCAGGGTGGCGCCGACCCGGCTAGACAGCCCTCGCCCGCCCCGCCCCGCCCCCACCGTAGTTAGCTCGTTGCTCTGCTTTCTGCCCGGAGTCTATCTGGCGCCGCGGTGGTGCACCCCCGCCCGTCTGCAATGAAAAGCTCCTGCGGCCGTCTACTGGGACTGGGACATTGGCTCCACTGCCGTCAGAGGGCAGGGGGACTGCCACTGCACTACCCGTCTCATTTCCCCTCTGCTGCTCCCCCCTCCTACCATCCTTTCACACCCGCGCCAACGTTGAGACAATAATTGTGTCGGGGGATTAAAAAAGTAATTAAATCTCTGAGGCGGAAACTTCTTTTCTGGCGCGCCTGTCTCCGAACGTAAAAAGGAAAAAGTTTGCAAACAAATGCGCGGAGCTGCTGTCCTTGGAGAGCGCCTGGGGGTTAGGCACCCCGCCCGCAGCCCTGCGCACCCCACCGAGGGATGCCTAACCCCCCGGCGGCCCGGTCCTGGAGAGCGCCTCGCAGCCAGGCAGCCCTCGGCGGGGAGGCGCACGGCTGCGGGCGTGAGGCCTACGCCCTAGGCGGGCTGCTTGTCTTATACTTCAAACCGACTGCGCGAGGGGCATTTTACAACGATTAGAAGTTTAAAACAAAAGCGCATTGACTGTAAAACGTACTCTGAATAAGCAAGTGTGCAACTGCAAAGTTACACTTTAAGTATGCAACTAAGTTGAGTACTTAAACTGAAAAGTGATCAACTCGGTAGCTGTGCACTTGCAATCGTGCATTTTCTTAACACTTTCCACAGCGTCCAATCTAAGTGTTCAACCGCGGAGTTGCTCAATTACAAGAGCACAGCTACCGAGGGACACTTGCTAGTGTACAACTACTAACTACTACGGTGTTGTATACTTGTAAGTATTTGACTTGCAGTCGCACTCTTGGTTTATCAGTGTAGATTTTTTTATTACATTTGCGCTCCGCTGCGTTCAGAGTTTCCAGACGGTACGTCAGGCCGCCTTCACGAGAACGGCTCGACATTGTCCGCCCCGCTCCGACCCTCTCCACGTTTATATACATCATTTCCCCTTGACTCCTCGTCGAGCCCAACGAGCGGCTGGCACTGCACGAGGCGGG